ACAATATTCTGAAGACAGGACACCATTTCACCTCCTTCCTTCTGCCTCACGGGGCACCCAAAATGTTAAGGCCTCTGATAGACAAAATCATTGACAACTTTGAGAAACTTACCGTCAGCTCCAAAGGACTCCTACAAGAAATGTCCAGAGTGGTTGAGCTCTACAAAGCTGGAGCCTATTTGGACAGGGGTCCCCAAGGAAGTGGTAAGGAGGATGTCTTATTTTTTATCCAGCAGAGTTTTGACTCACTACTTGTTTATAAAGCACATTTTTTCTACTTTGTCCAGAAATGTCATGTACTAGATCTATTTATTCCTGAAAAGTTGTATACTACATTTTTTATTACCTTCCAAAGTCTGGTGCCTTATTTCTTTAATTAATTTAGTCTTCACACTCCACCCCATTTTCATCTCCTTTAAAAAGATTAAACCACCATTTTTTGGTGTTTATTTATGCAAGTGCATGTGTGTGCCTGAGTTCATTCGTGTGTATGTGTATAAAGGGGAGTACGTTTGTGAGTGTGTGTGTTTGTATGTATGTGTGTGTGTGTATGTGTGTGTGTGTGTGTGTGTGTGTGTGTGTGTGTGTGTGTGTGCGCGCGCGTGCAACAAGATATGAATGACAAAAATGAAACTAACGGAGAAAAAGAAAAAGAAGCAAATTTGAGAAACAAAAAAAAGCAGGAGATGATCAGGGTTTGTTGACAATTTCTGAATTACTCCACTTCACACAGTTTTATTCCTTTCACCCCTTCATTAACATCCCCACCCCTCCCCTACACCTCCCCCACACTCCAGTTCTACTCACCTGTATCCAATTTCCCAATGCGTGCTGACAACCCCTCCCCATTCCAATTTTCCTCTGTCCAGTCACTTCTCATCATTATTTTTCTTCTCCCATCTTCATTTTTTCGCCTTGCCCTTTATCCACCTGTTCCTTCCCAAGGTAAGTATTAATAGGGCCTATGTGTTTGATATCATACCATATAAAAATTATCGTTTTTCATTCAACAAAGACTTTATATTATATACATATCGTAACATATCTTTATTGCATTTTCTTCTGTTTCCACAGATTACTCAGCACATTACCTGCAGGACCTGCCTGGCCAGTTTGACTACAGATGTCGCTTCTCTATGTCTGGAGGTGCCTGCACGTTGTCTGTCTTTGACCTGAGAGAAGCTCAAGACATTTGTGATATGGATGAAGAGTGCCAAGGCTTTATCTGGACAAGGAAGAAAACGTGGACGGGTGAGTGTTCACAGTTGGAAGACTTTTTTTTTTATACATGGATGGAGAGAGGAAGATAAAAGTCTTGATATTTCATGGTATGAATCTCCATTGTCCAGCTAAAAAATAATTAATACATTTGTTTATTGTTCAATTTTGATAATTTAGTTCGCAGATCCTTATCAAGGCTGAACATTGCAAGATATCTTTTGATATTATTGTTATTATTATTATTATTATTGTTATTGATATTATTGTGACAATGATTATGATTGGTACCTACACTTGACCATGGTGCATTCGTATTTTCTTTCAAACTTAATACTTAAATACTTGTATGTTGGCGTAGAATTTCAATTGTCAGTTTTCGGATGGAAAGTTTGGCCTCTGTCCGCTCCAGATTGTGAGAAAATTTTGTGGGAAGGATGAGAAATATTTACTCCTCCAAAGGTGGCACCTCAGCTCTGTAAATGTGCCATAGTAACCAGTTGGACATAGCACAGCAAATTTCTTTTTGTGGAGATTAATAAATTATTATCTTGTCTTATCTATAATCTTGTCTTGTCTTGTTTTATCTTGTCTTGCCTAATCTTATAATACTTACTTAAAGGATCATGTTGAGTGACAATGTGTATTGTCATGATTATTTTATTTGTCTCTGAGACATTCCTAATATTGACTCTTACTTTCCTTCACAGGTCGAACTCTGGTTCATCTAAAGAATGGAAAAGGCACACCCTCAGCAAATTCAGAGACAGACTTGTATGTGAAGCCCTCGTGAACTTCAGAAAATCACCTTTTTCAGAAATACGTCACAACCACACGTGTGGTGACACAAACTGGCACTGTGAATTGCCCTTGTTCCTTTATCAGTCAGTTCCTTGATCCTTGATTGTTTCTGTCGTGGAATAAATCTGATAGCTATACTGAACACAAAGCGTCTAGCAGAAAAGATGTGTCAGTAATATGGGTTGGAAGACTGCACAACATAGATATTGATTTATGTGACGACTCAAAAAGAGAAAAATGACCTGCAGTGTACGACAGAATCTTTCATGACCTGATAGTGTTGACAGGAGAATAAGCGTCAAAATCAAACTGAACTTACCTCAGATTTTACCTATGGTAAGCTTGTTTTTACCTATCCAGAGGTTGTTTTCATGATCTTTGTTACACAGAAAGCTAATGTCGTTATGAGGTTTTGAAGAAAAATTGACTATTTCTAGGCTGTCTGCCTCCGTTTACTGATGTCTTTTTAATTTGTTTTACACAAAGAAAATAAGGCATCAATAAATTACATATAAAGGCCTCTATTGTTGAAACATTCTTTTGACGGTTGCAAACATCATGAACTGAGGGAATAGACGATGAAAATATGGTTCTTTCAGAAAATCAGTCACTCTATGTGTTCCTCGCCGGTGTTGGGATGAGTGTTAGTTGCCCCATCCCCCAGCACCTCTCTTGTGTTACAAGGCTATTTGGCTGCATTCGTGAACCTCTGCACTATATGCTGAGCCGATGTCTCTTTATGAGTGCCATACTGCTTTTTGTTCTGTTGTACGTGCGAGAAGTTGCGTGAAATTTTATATGGAGTCTGTTTGATTCCAGCAGACTGTTCTATGATTGCAGGATATTACATTCTACACGTAAATACTAAGGAAAGTTAAGGTTTTCACTCAAGATTTGAAAGTTTAGACTTCAGTTTCATTTGTTGTTGTTATTTAAAGAAGACTCTTCATACCTTCATTCCTGGGCTCCTGGAGCGGGATGCACAATACACCTGGGCTCCCTTGGGTTGTCTGCTAGGTTTAGGTTACTCCATGCTCAAGTATACATTCTGTTCACAGAAGGGTAAAGGTAGCACATGAGGGTTAAGGGATTCTACACCTGAATTATATTGCCTCTCGTCATCTTTTTATTTTTGATCAATTCAAAAATTAGTTTGCCTTTTTGTCAAAATAATTCTTAATGCTCATGTGAAAGGTAAAATGTTTTCAGAAAGTTGTGGGATAAGCTTGATGTAGTGACTCACGTACTGACTGTCAAGTCTGTAGAAGGTTCACTATTTAAATAATTTTTTTTGACTTTTGTCTTTGGCACTTTGTGTGACATGTCACTGTCACCATGGTGATGTGTCATCACTGCACTTTGATGCTTGAAACAGTGACTATGAGACAGCATCATATGCATTCCTGTGATACTTTTCATGTATGTGAAATGTGCATAAGTTATTTCCTCCAAGTACTTCTTGAAATTCCATTATGTCACAGAGCGAATCAGAATTGTGGTGGTTGCCACAGTAACTGCCAAAACCATGTTTTTAAAATCAATTATTTGTTGTTGCTTAGAGGATGATGTGTGCGATATTATTGGTATGGTTTTGTGGATGAGACTGCTAGTCTTTATGAATGAGAAAAGGTTAAATCTAGGCTGGTGACAGGATGCTTTGGAAAGAATGTTTGAAAAGAACTGTCATTTATAAAATGACTGAATGTTAAATGTGCTCATGGAGGAGACATTCTGTGATTAGGAACTAATCATGCTATAATTCAAAAGCTAGTGAAAGACTATTATTGATCTGTTTCTGTGTGAGATGATGAAAGATTATACTTGAATGATAGTCATGTGGGTAGTGGTGATGAATTGGTTGTGAAGATGAGAGAAAAATATGGTTATTTCAGGTGTCGTCAAATGCTGAGTGTGTTTCTATGTCAGCAATTGTGAAAATAAAGTCATTGAAAACATGGTTAGTCCCAATAATTCTCATGTTGATGAGCTGTTTCAAGTTCAATAAACTTTTGTTTGAACCAATCAACTCAGGGTGTTTTGTTTTCTTGTGATAGGGGCGAGTTCATTCATATATGAGTGATGTTCATTTTGATGAGACCAAACGCATATTCACAATAATGTTGTGTCCACATTTTAATGATGATCAGTCAGAGACTTAACTCTTTGAACCCCATCGAACGCTGGGAGCGTCCGGCGATAATAACCCTGTTCCCCACCGGACGCTGGGAGCGTCCATTACTAGTACTAGTGACAACTGCTTCGTTTTGTTTAGTGCTAGTTTTTGCTTGTTTTTCAGAACTATTCCCGACCAAGTTTTTTAGTAATGACTAAGCCTTTGTTTCTGCTATTTACAAGTTGGAGGCAAGCTTTTGGGGTTATAATGAGACAGTGCACTAGGTTTAGGTGACTGTAGAAAAAAACTTGGGGAAACGGTAAAAAATACTCAGGGCTTAAAGAGCTAAGACACTATGGCTGAAAAGTAACTGGACGAGTGTGTGGCCAGATTATTTTCTTGCATTCCAGACTCATGTCAATTTTTCAGGGCGAGTGGAAAAGAATCGGGGCAGAGGTGCTGATAGCCAAAGAAAAACAAAGGCAGTTGCTATTTTTTCCCATGTGAAAATATGCCCTCAAGTTATTAGTCTTGTTTTACCTCTATCCCAGTAGTACACAAGGAAGTCTTAACTCTCAAAGGACAATGTGTTGGTGTTGGGGGTTTGTGTCAGTGACCTCAACGTTAGTTTCAAGTAAAATTTTAATTTAAAACATGCTTCAGGAATACCTTTCCTGAACTTGCCACAATATTGAGGCTGCCTGACAATTCAGGGTCCTCTGAGAGTGGTATTGATACCATACATATCTTATCAAAGCTTATTTTAAATTGTTTACCTCAATTCTGGTTTATTAAATTTCACCACTCCATTTGCATCTCTGAAAAACCACCTTGAATCCTCTCAGACACTTCCAGGCCAAAAAAAGGCTTTTGGTCCATCAGAGATCTTAAGCTTATTACCCCAATAATATAAGGGAATATGTAAAAAAGCATTTGCTGCTCAATTTTATCATGTCTCAATATGTAACAGAATTTTATCACACCTGGTACTATTTTATTTAGTTTATGCAACATTTTACTGAAATTCACCCTGTTTACCAAGGCATAAGCTGCTGTGAAGTAAATAGAAGCACCCGATCTTCACTTCAAACTGAATAATTTTATTTTATGTATAATACACGGAAAATCTTCTGGAAATTTGAAAGCTCTCCAGATCAAATCGTGTTAAATTCAAGGACAGGCATGTTCTATTTTGAAACTTTGAATCATGGCTATCTTTTCTGGTAATATAAAATTCATGGAAGTTATCGTGGTACCGGTACCTTTAAAAGGAAACATCAGATAATCATCAGTTTTGCAACCTGGCACTAAAAGTAAAAGATGTCAGAGTTAGGGATACCACTCCACTTCCTCTCTGAGACTTGCACAGCATATAAATTCTGAGTAACTGCACAAGAAATTAAAAGATCCTGCACCTATCATGATAAGGCATTGGAATGACAGCGAGCTCAATAGAAAGAGCAAGTAGGTTCAACAAATTGGTGAACTCATCAACCATCTAGACCCACCATTGTTGGAATAATCTAATGCTATTCAGCTTCAGACTTGCATAAAGAGGATCCACGTTTTCTTCAAAAAGTGTCTAAGAAAGTTACTGAGGATCAGATGGACAGTCACCAACGAGGAAATTTTAAGACAAACAAGACAGATTCCAGTTAGAGATGAGGTAGGAAGAAGGCGGTGGCAATGGATTGGACATACTCTCAGGAAGTCGGGCAGCTACATAACAAAGTAAGTGTTGGATTGGAACATACAAGGTAAAAGGTTAGGGAGAAGACGGCGTGGAACCTAGACAAGAATCACAGAAATTGATGTACAGAAAAGTGGAAAGACATAGAATAACATAAGAGGCTAGCCCAGGATAGAGAAAGGTGGAAAGTGTTTGTCTGTGGCCTATACTCTGGTGCAGGGTGAGAAAGGCAATGATGATGATGATGATTCAGCTTCAGGTGTCTCTACTCTAAAAGTGAGTGAAACCATTCACGTCTCAAGTGGTGGTTTATTTGGCCCCCTTTCACTTTAAAGTGTTAGTGGCTCTTGTCAGAATTCTTGACAGTTTGCTGATGATGGGGAGGGGGCACACAACTCTCCATGTGATGACATGAGTGCTTCTACTCAACAATATTAATAAATTATCAACATATCAATATAATAAATGTAAAAAAAACCTGATTGCTGCATGGGATAACTTTTATTTGTCAAAACAGCAACATCTACAATTCAATTGTTTGACAAAATTCATGATAAAGAAACAACATACCATGCGACTGGCAGAACACTTGACTGTTACAGAAGTTATCATGATTTCCTCAGTTCAACTCTGGGATTTTTTTCTTTTGTCAGCCAGAATTACACAATATTTCGAACATCCAGCAAACAATGGTTAAAACAGCAATAATAAAACCTATTCATCTTTGTCTTGGGGAACGAATTCTGATCACTCAGCAAGATGAAATCCTTAAAAGAAAAAAAAAAGTGTTTTTGGCAGGACCTCCAAGTGAAGTACCATTTGCGAAGCAGCGCGGTGGAATCGGGCTCTCGTCAAATTAATTAAAGTGAAGAAACTTGCATTTTTCCTCAGGTTTGTGAATTTTTATCAAAGTTTTGGTTTTTGGCTCAACACCTTTCATGCCCATTAAAGAACTAATTTCTGAGTGGATTTTTCTGAAAAGCGTAGATTAAAGGCACGAAAATGTAAATTTTCAGTTACCACAGACTCTTATGCTAAGGAAATAACTAATCTTTGGCGGCCATTTTCTAACTAATTGTACCTCTGAAAACAGGTGACCTCCACCTCCTTCTTTCGCAAGTATCTCGACTTGTATTCAAGATAAATGTATATTTTTTCATCCAAATAAAGACAAGTGAAAAAGCTTTAAGATAATACCAATAACTCTACATGCCCAAAAATTGACGAGAGCCTGATTCCATCACGCTGCCTCACATTTTTCAATAAAAAATCCCTTCCTTACATTCCATACATTCGTTCTTCACAATCTTATTCTCTCTGGAATGAAACATGCTTTATTCATCGAGAAGAGCAACATTCGACAACAATGAACCAAAAGTAGCAAAAGACCCAGCATAGTCTCACAAAGGAAATAAAATGAGGGAAAAACATGTGAACTAAAGGTAACAGAGAAAGAGACTCCATGCTTAGAAAGAGTGGGAAGACCAAACACACCAAACAAATAAAAAAAATACAAGAGAGTGAGAAATCATTCTTATTACCAGTACCAGCAGCAAAAAAATCTTCACAATCATGGCACACTAATTTTTCTTTTATGAGGGAGAAAGAATGAATGAGCAACCAAGTTTTCATAAGTTTAAAAATGAGACCATTTTCTAATTTTCAACACAAATTGATTCTTTACCAAAACCTCAACTACCAACAAATGACAGCCTTCTGATAAGCTAGCAACGGCACCAACTGAACCCACCAAGTGCATCAGAAAGTTTTGACGCATGGAGTAACTTTGAAAAGTACACAGATCTCAGAGAAACCAGTTTTATTGGCAACCCATATCAGATGAGCAGAAGCATACGAAGTTGAAATATTAGAGAAACTGCTCGGTACAACTCAGTACGAGCATAATTCTAAATAGATTTTACAACCATTACCCTTCCCCTGCTATGAAGACATTAAACAGTTTCTGACACTAAGTTTTATTTTCATTTCTGTTTTACACTGCAATGAATTTAATGAAAACTTGGAGAATAAACATTTCATTATATTATATTAGCATCCTTTTTCAGCACACAGTAACATTAAATAAACTTTCTTTGGGTAGTCATCTAATTGAGGTACCAGTACACAACATGGGCAAAGGATTCAGAAAAAAAAAGGATTGAAATCCATTTTGTACAAGCATAACAAATCTCACAAGACATCATGACTACATTCTCCTACATTTCAAGAATAAAACATGCATTCAAAAGTACCAGTAATTATAATCAACAGTTCTCGTAATACAAGAAGATATGGTAGACTTTTGAGTGAAGTTGGAAGAATTTAAGTTTTTGATAAACTGAGCCTCTAGCGTGAGAAAGTTTCAACTAGTATCAAATATCTCAAAGGCCCCGAAAGCTCCAAAACACTACGGCGTTCAATGAATTGTGTATTTTTTTCTGTCCTGCCTAGTGTGCAACAGAGTATAAACCTACATGACATAGTAAAAGCCATAAATAAAACGTAACATCCCCCCCCTCCCCCAGGCAACAAACTCAAACATATAGAAAACATTGGACACTAACGCACATTACTTAGGGAGACCCCACTCCGGCCGTCCAGAAATCTTTATCTCTGTGAGAGATGGGATCTCCTTGCGCTGATGGCCATGTTTCCCTTGCTTGCCGAAGTTGCCCCGATGTTGTTGTCTTGATGATCCGTAGCTTGAAGGCTGCGATGATGAGCCGGGAGGGGGGTGTGAACTGTAGCTGGATGATGACGGAGGGGGGTAGCTACTGGCGTGAGGGGGTGGTGGCAGCCCAGGAGGGGGTAGATTGGGGGGGGGGACATGTCCTCCGGGTGGATACGGGTAGCCGCTGTACTGGGAGGGGGGAAGGCCGGGAGGGGGGAATGATCCTTGTGGGGGAGGTTGGGTGACCGGTGGAGGATATGAGGGGGGTAGATACGATGTCGGGTTGGGTGGGAGTGAATATGGGTCATATGGGGGAGCAGATGTAACAGGTGGAGGGTAAGAATGAGGTGGTGGGATGGATGGCGGAGGGAGGTATGGAGGTTGAGAGGGGGGAGGGTAGGAGTACTGAGGGTCAGAGGGCACAGGGGGCGGAGGGTACTGAGACGCATCTGCGACCACAGGTGGGGGAGGGTGGCGGGATGCATGGTGTGGATCTGGAGGATAAGAGGGGACTTTGGCTGGCGGAGGGGCGGAATTTCCCGCCAGGATGGACTGTATGTTTTGCGATCCCTCTTGTGACAAAAAGGAGGCCGAGAACATCTGCGAGGAGACGTACGGGTTGAACGAGTTGAAGTCTGTGGTCGGGGCCTCGATACTGGAGTAGCTTGAGTGGGTGCTTGCCTGTGAAGTGATGTGCTGGGCCACGGGGATGGGAGCTCCAGCTGGGGACAAAGAAAAACACATCTCGAGTTACAGAATATAAAACAATAATAATTATTGCATTTATATAAAAGTGCACTTCCATGCTCTACGGAATGCTTTATGTACATTACGATCATTATATGTCAGAATCGATCTAAAACTCGTTACAATGATGGAGAAAACTGGAAGGATTGGAAAAACAATGACCTCCAATGCAGGCACCAAATGAAAAACAAAAAGAAAAAAAGTTTCAACTTCACTGAAGTTCCACTTTGTGTGCTCTCATCTAAAAATCAATTCCACAAGAGCATATTATGCTCTCAAATTATATTTTCTATAACATAAATTACAAAATCATTCATATACAAAACAATTTTAAACTCTGATACACAATTATAAGTCGTCACAGCGCTGCATCAACCCAACAGAAATACTATAAATAGAGACAAATTTCATTTGAGCCATTTGAGTAGTATTAGGTTTTGAAACAAGCAACAACTGTCACAGCCAACTTGACAATAGTGCTAAAATATGCTGACATTGGATGTAGCTATTTGGCAATGTGCTTCAGTTTCAGTATTGAACTTTACTCTTTTCACTAACAGTGGCATCCATGTGCTCTGCAACAAATACTTCTATTTTCACAAAGATAGAAAAGCAAGAAAAGAAAAAAGTCTTATAGCACCTCCAACTAACAGAACCACAACAATTTTTCTATACAAGAAAAGAGAGGTGGACAATCAGAGCAAAAACGAAAGAAGGAAACAGAGAGGGATCAGAACATAATGACTACCTGTTGTGCTTGTGGCAGCACTGGCCGAAGAGGACTTGGAGGCTGCCATCTTTGTTTCTTTCTCTTGCTTTACCGATTTTGCCTCTCTCTCCGGCTCTGATGGTGTCACCTTTTTTGGGATTGAAAAAAAAAAAAGACAAAATAAAAGAATGTCGACAAAATGGCAATGTCCTATCAAGCAAACAATTTACTGTTTTTATTCAAAGAGACACTTAAAATTTAAATACTCCATAAAAATAAAGCAAAAGAAAGAGTTGACTATAGTAAAATGATTAAATAAGAAATGTGGTCAATCTTATTCAAATTTAGGCCATTAAAACAATATGACATACTCGCTTTACAGCTCATTCTGTATTTTCACTTCTGCGTGACATTATATGGTAAGCTTATGAGCACAACATGCATTGCAGCCAATTTTCCAAGACCTAAAAACAGACTATCCATGCGACTAAATCAAGACGGTGAGCACTGGCCAAGTTATCTCCCTCTAGACCCTTCACAAACACTTTTCTGCATTCAATAAATTCAAGCCAAAGTAGACCTGCAGCAACAGATCTCTCCAGTTGACATATCATATGGGCTTCATTCTCATTATTATTTGCAAATCTGGTTTTGAAAGTTCGTAATTTTTCTTTAGCATTAGCAAGTCTTCGGGGAGCAATACTAAAAAACAGAAATACGTATTTTTGGATACAAAAACAGATTTCCGAACTAAGACCGTAAAAACATATTAAATAACTGAAAAAAACAAAAACAAACTTGTTGGCAGCTATGAATAGGTACTCCTGAATTAACACATGGCGGACCAACCTGAAAACCTACTAATATGCCTACTTTGTGCTCACCCTTATGACAGCCCAGCATCTCCACCACCGGGACTTTAGCAACAACTTCCACCCACTGACAACACCCCAGACCATAAAAGGAAACTTGTGAGGCATCTGCCTTCTACTACACTTCTACTATTTGTAGAATTATACACTAATTTTATGATCCTGGGTCCAACTGTGTCAGAGAAGCCACTGCATCTCGGGGTGAAATATAGTGGAGTAGGAGTCCGCCTAAACCAAACGCAGTAACCAGGAAAAGTATTTTCCAAAAAAGACTGTAATATCACCTAACAAAACATCACAGGGATTGCATGGGCTCACCTCTCTACTTCTTTTGCCGGGAGTCTTATCAGGTGGTGGAGGAGGGGGAGGGCTGTCCTGGGTCCTGGATGGCTTGGCTGGACTCTGTGGGGGTGAATCTGCGTCCAGACCTTTCTTCTGTTGTTGCTTTGAGTAGAGGTCCAGCACTTGATGGCAAATGTCTGAACAAAGACCATAGAGTCAAAATAAAGAAATGCATGTTAAAACATAGAAACTAGATTTGAAAAAATACCAATTAGATGTGTTTTACTGCAGTATCAGCAACGGTAATTCAAGTCAACCATGAAGAAAATCAACACCTACATATATTCATAGTGGAAAGAACACAAGAGCATATAAATTGCCTCCTATAACTTAAGAGGATAAAAAGAAAAAACCCAGAGGGAACAAATCGGTTTATTTCATCTTTCTCAACAAAAAAATTTAATAGAAGAATGAAGGAAAGAAAGCATTGAGTCCACATCAAGATAAAATTTACACACACACACATATGGGCACATGATCACATATAGAAATGCATTATTTAATAATTGTTGTGTACCTTCTCCTGGAGTGCATTTGATCTATTCATTACCCCCAGACTCACATGGACAGAAAAAAGAAAATAAAAATACCCCAAGACTGCAGTAATTTTAAACAGATGCATTCAGACAGTAAAGACCTAAACCACCAGTCAAGTAATTTCACTTTCCCATAGATCCCTGTACGTAACTAAGGACGAGGAAGAAAAGGAGGAGGGGGCTATTAAAATACCTCTTAGACCAGGAGAGGAGAGGGAAGGGGAGGGGGCCACAAGTAGCGGAGAAGGAAGGGGGAGGGGGCCAAAAGAACCGTGAAATGAAAAGGGAAGGGGGCAGTCACAAGTAGAAGAGAGAGAAGGGGGAGTTGGCCACAAGTCTGTCCTCAGAGAAATTCGCGTCAGCAACCCGCAAGTTGCGCGCGCAACTTTTGCCGTCAGCGCAACTTTTACCAATTTCGTGAATTCGCGAATTTTAGCCAATTTCCTGCAAAATTTGGGAAAATAATAATAAAATTTCATTAAAAACACCGAAATTTTCTTCCACGACTAAAAATAACGACGCCAAGGGGGACAATTCGCTCCTCTGCACTATGGGGTGCCCGCCGCGCCGCCGCCCAGTGACCCGTACCGGTCGGGTCGGGATGATCGCCTGAAAACTACGTGTTTGTTTGGAAACAACGAGTCAGGCGAGATCGACTTGTGCCACGATAGCCGCTTTGCACATTGCACCATCAATCTGGCGAGCAAACCGACCCAATAGTCTTGTTTGAACTGAATCATCTTCTAGTCTAGCTACTAGATCTAGATCTAGAGTCTCAGTAAATCAATCATAAACACGGTC